GAATATGAATTCAATCATTTTATTTCTAAACTCAAAGTTTATTGATAAAAGGCAGTTTAGTTTAATGAACATTTTAAAACGTTTCGCAAAGGCAAAGCGCTTGTGTTTTGTTGGAATTTTACATTAAACTGAAGAGTAACTAGAAGAGTTCGGGGGTTTTATTTCAATTTAAAAAAAAAACAACTTATAAAGAATAATATGATCGTGTTACCATGACAACCACTTCAAATACTGCACGCTTGGAAAATATAGTAGTTTTGCTAGCAAGGTGAGAGGATTTATCATTTTGCATGCATGTATTTATATTAAATATCAATAAGTATGCTAACTGGTAAGAAAACATTCTAAACACCACTGCAGCCCTAATTAACCCGGTCAAACAACAAAGTGCTGATCAATGTCCTAAAATTGCAGGTCATTAATTGACTGGTGCTCACATTATTTATGAATTATAAACTTTATACAATTTAATTTTTCTCACCTTTCTATTCTACAGCCTACATAAGTTACTATATATACTATGTTTTAAATTAACACAAGAAAATGCAATTACTAACTTCATTCAAAAGAAACAAAAATTGCATCTTCAGGCTTACTGTGCGTTTACAGTAAGTGTGGACACTTAGATCGAGAACACTAACCAATTACATTGCAGAACAAAAATAGAAAAAATCAACAAACGGCGCATTAGCCAATCAGCATTAGGCCAAAAACAATTTGAACAAATGTCAAACGGTAAAAATAGACTTGAAAAGTAAACATTGCAGTTACTGGCTTCCTGAAGCGAACTCCATGCTTTCTTTTGATTGGACAAGCTTTAGTTTGATTAGATTTCTACTTTTGTTCTGCAATGTGATTGGTTAGTGTTATCTAAGTGGCGTTAGTGGCCCCACTCACAGTAGACGCACGGTAAATATAGGTCATGCAGTCACAGCCATTGTCCGATCCATTTGTGAAATTGTCCAGCGTACAGAGGAAACCACCGGACAATCTGCCCGACCTAAGTGAAACTGAGGTTTATTGTTTGTCTGAACCCAGTGTATTGGTGTCCGACCAAACTGTAGCTAATTTGTCTGATATAAATCAAATCAGCGACATGGTGGAAAACAGGTTTTAAAAGTGTCGACATCGTACTGCTGTAATTATTGGTATGCAAGTTAATTTATTAATTTTGGCTTGGAAATAAATATGAATGATACAACTTATTTAATATCTTCACAACATTTACAGTTCAGAATTAATACATTATGGTGATATTTTTGCCATTCAGACTTATTTCCAGGCTGAACTGAACTGATGGTCATTGGACATTATCAGGGACGTAACTCCTGGGGGGAGGGACACCCCCCCCCCC